GCAGCTCTGCATCACCCACGCTGCGGAAGCGCCGTTTCTCCAGCCTTCCCCAGATTCCCACCTGGCTTTTTTTACTTAGTCCAAAAAAAAAAAGAAAAAAACCCACACAACCAAGACCACCACGCACGGAGCATTAATTGCCACGTAGCTGCCTTGAGCTGGGCTGGCAGCTCCGGAGCAGTAGGGACGGGGCTGAGCTGAAAGGCCATAAGGGGAAAGCCCTGGGGTCTCTGCCATCGCCTTCACATCCCCACACCCCCCACACGATACAGCACCACCTGCCCCTGCGCCTCTGCCCGCCCGCCGTACCCCCACCCACGGCTCTTACTGGTGCACTTCTTGATGCTGCTGCCCTTCTTCAGCGCGTGCCGGCTCAGCTTGCAGTGGAAATTTTCCTCCCAGAACTCAGCAAACCAGATGTTTCGGCGGTTGTTGTCCAGCGTCCTGCTGGAGAAGTAGCGGTCGAAACCTGCCCAGGGAAGAGGGGACGGAGGGGATAAATCTCTGGGGTGGTAGAGAGATGCTTAACGTGGCCCAAAACTCCCCAGGCAGAGGGGAAGGAGGGTCTCTTAAGTGCTGGGGTCTAGGGATGTGCAGGATTGCGGAGGGTTTGTGTCGGGCAAAGCTGCAGGCTGGAAAACCCACTCAGGGAAGACCCAGTGCAAAACAGAGTCTTTCACAGCCAAAACCTTGCGGTTAAGGGGATGCTGGGGGGACACAGGAGGGAGCTGAGGGAAGCCACCGAGCGCAGCCTCTTACCTTTGACAGAGACCCGCTTGGGCAAGATGGTGACAGAGCCCTCGGCCACCTCCTCCAGGTGCAGGACCGGGGAGATTTTGGAGCCCCAGCTGTCCGAGCCCATCCAGATGAAGTGTCCTGTCTGGTTCGCCCTCTTGGCCGCCTCCAGCACCCTTCTGCAGAGAGAAGCAACAGGCGCTGGCGCTCACCGGCACCACGGGGCCGGGACTTCAGGTCTGGACCCATGGAAGGGGGGATGCTGGCACAGGGGCAGGCTCAGCGCTCTTTGCATCTCCTGCTCTGGATGCTCAGTTGGCACCAGGCACCGGTGCACGACCCGATGTATATGGGTACATGAGAGCAAACTGTGCTGCGCAGCTCCCACACCCTCTGTCCTCCCCAGCCTGGGCACACAGGCTGCTTCTCCCACCTCATTTGCATACTTGCTGACTGGTAATTGAATTTCCCCTTTAATTACCCAACATTAGGAAAAAAAAATCAGGTTATGCCACAGCAGGCAGGGAAAGTGGCAGCACTGGAGAGCATGCGTGTGCTCTCAGCTCCGATCAGCACTGCAAGCCACGAGAGAGAGCCAGCCAGTGCTGCCAGTGCTCAGGCCAGAGCTAAACTGGGCTGTGCTGGGCAGCTGAGCAGCAGTGGGGAGCCCAAGATGCCACCCGTCCTGCCGAGCATCCCTCATTGCGGCCAGACTCGGCCACGCATGCTCCACCGACACCAGCCAGTTTCGAGAATCTTAGTAGGTGGGTGGATCCCACCCTCTTGCCTCTCTTTTCCCAGGGCTTGCTGTCCCCTCGGGAGTCGTGTCCCTAGTCCTGTGGGAGTGGGGCTCAGGGCAGCTTCGTCTCCCGGTTTCCCCGTGCAGCGAGGAGGTAGGTTTGTGACTCACCCCGCCGCCGGGAGCTGATCATTTCAAGTCCAGATGGTGCTTGAAAGACGCAATAAGGAAAAAAACCCACATACACGTCGAGCAGAGAGTGGACACAAGACGGGAAGAGGCAGGCGTGCTCCCGGAGCCATGGGGCCAGCAAGCAGACGGCTGCTTCGCGCTCTCTTCCTGCATCCCAGGCTGCTCTGAGCTCCATACTCATCCCGGGTTGCACCGAGATCCTGGCACATCCCAGCTCGCTCTTAGCTCCGTGCTCATCCCGGGTTACCCTGAGCCCTGGGGGCATCTTACATT